CCCGGGGGGGGGGGGGGTTAAGTGCCCGTATTTTCCCTCCCCGTCTCCTTCCTTTGTCCCCCCAGGGCCCATGAGCCGTATCCCTTCTTCCCGGAGGAGCGGCCGTTCGACTCTGGCGGTGCTCGTGGCTGAGATGCCAAGGCCCGCGGACGCAAGGATGCTGCTGCGGCTGCCTACCAGCTCTCGACAGTGGAGCCATTGCCATGGCAACTGCCTCGGCACCAGCTCCTCGGCGGAGGAGATGGTCCCTGCCACCCTCCGCCTGGCAGAGGCCTGATGGAGAGGGGGGTGCCCATCTCCTGCCCCCTTCCCAGAGCTGGGCTTTGTCTCCTGCCTGTGGCCCACAGCTCTGCCTTGCTGTGGGAGGGGGATGGGAAGTCACTGGGGGGAGTGAAGAAAGCAAAAAAACCCCCAAAAAGCTCCCTTGAGAGAGAGCGGCTGGAAAGGGGGAGCCGGACAGATCGGGGGCCAGAGTCACGGCCAAGCTGGATCTTCATGGTGCCCGGAGCCAGCAGCAGATGTCAGCGGGCATCAAGGTGCTTGGCAAACATCAGGATGGGGGACAGCGCGTCTGAGAGCCCCGCTGGTGTGGGGCACAATGGGATGACTGCTGCCAGGCTATTGCGGGGCAGCCTCCCCGGAGAGCGCGGCAGGTGGGTTATCCCCGTGCTGGGAGCTGCCTGGGGCTTTCGGCCTTTGTGAAGAGGAAGGGCTTCCTCCAGAGAGCATGGGATCTTCCTCACCCGGCCGCACAGAGCCAGGGCCCTGCCCCTCGTGGGCTGAAGCGTGCCCAGCTCTCTGGGATGGACTCGCAGCTCAGGGCCAGGTGCCTCATCCTCATCCCTGGAGATGCCCTAACTAAGCCCCCATGGGTTCCTGCCTGCCCCGAGCAAACCATGCTGCTCCCAAGCCAAGTGCAAGGGGTAGTGAAAGGCCACAGATAGCTGGGCTGAGGGTGCGTCCAGGGGCAGAGCTGCCTCGTTTGGCTCTCCTGGGGCATGCTGTCAGGAGGAAGGAGTGCTCCGGGCACGGGCACTGGCTTGAAGCGGGCAGCAAGCAGACGCAATCGGGGAATTGCTCCTCTCCGTGCTCCGGCCCGGACCCTGTGCTAAGGGGTAGAAGCTACCGGGGCTCGGAGGGAAACGTCCTTGCCGGGCCTTTGAGCTCTCTGCAGCAGAGCAGGGGACAGCTGGACTCTGCTGGCTTAGCTGCTTGGCCCCTGGACCCTGGGAGGGGACCATCAGCTGGGGGATGGCCGCCTGACCAGCCAGGGCAAGCAAAGCATTTGGGTCCGGGTGGGCTCAAACTCTCTCTGCGAACTTCTGGGTGGCGTTTTGGCCTGGAATTTCTGCTGACTTCCACCGAGCATCTCGTATCGGCTCAGCCACCTCCATAGCGAAAAGTTACCAGCTCGAATCCCACCTCCCAGGACGAGGTCTGGTCACAAGGGCAGATGCCGCAGTGCAGGCTGTGTTGCTGCGGCCCAGCCCCCGGGTTTTCAGAGAGGCATGAGAAGCCCTGATGCCCTGGAATAATAAGCCAGGCAGAGCGGCAGAGGAGGAAACAAGCCAGGCGGAGAGGAGTGAGGCGATGACGGGTGAGCTGCCAAGACGAGTAGTGCTGCAAAGCCATCAGTTGCTCCGGATGTGCCAGGCTTGGGAGACGCATAAAGCTGGGATCCGGTTTTCTCTGTCTCGGTCTCCAGACAAACTCCAACAGCCTGTTCTTGCTGAAGGAGAGAGCGGAGGCCAGGGCCGTGTCCGTCTGGCTGGTCATCTGCCACTCCGTTAATTAGCAGCCCGTGGGCAAGGCTGCATGGGAGCGATGAAGGGGTATTCGGTGCTGATGCCCCCTCTGCCCATACGGTTACTGACCCGAGACCGCGTGGTGGGGTGTCAGGAGTTACGTCAAGTTGCAGTGTCTATAGGGTTGGCCGATGCAGATGAGCGGGCAGCTCTGACACTTAAAATCCTCCTGTCTGAGACGTGGCAGCTTCGTCCCATGCAGCGCGGCCCTTGACAGGACGGAAAACACGGGATAAAATCCTACGACTGCCCCTTGCTAATGGAGTCGCCCCTTTAGCCCAAGGGAGAGGCTGCGCTGTGGAGCGGAAAGCTTTGGGCTGCGTCCCAGCGGTGACTTGTGACTAGTGGGAAGGATCTTTCCTGACTGCCATTTCCACCCCCACGCTGCTGACTGTGCTTATGCCTTTGCTTCTTGGCTAACCCTCCAGGGTAGGGGATGGCACCCATTTTGGGAGCCCCTGAGACGTGGCTTTCTCTCTCCAGAGTTAATTGAGCCGTAAACAGGTGCTACAGAAAGGCAAAGTGTCAGGTGAGACCCTTCAAGCACTCTGTGCTGTAGGCACGTGCCCATATCTCCCGGAGCACAGCACTGTTTGTCTTGCCTCTGTGGGGAAACTGAGGCATAAGCTTGAATATGTGTCTTGCCTGTACTTGGAGAGTGACACAGAGCTGCAGGTGGGACCTGGTACCCTGCCTGCACCCCCTGCTTGACCAAGAAGACTGTGCTGCTCTGCCTATAGCTGCCCCCTCACCTGCTGTGCCGCGGCCCCCTGCTCCCTGCCACCGGCTCCAGGCTGGCTGTGCCCAGGACAGACGGGTGTCTCCTTGGGCGAGGCCCTGAGACCTGACTCGCAGCATCTCTGCCCTGCGAACGGTGTCCTCGAGAGGTGGCCCACGTCACGTCTGGCTCCCGTCAGCCCTGTGGGAGTGAGAGGCCTCTCTTTTTTCCCCCCTGCTGCTGAGTGATGGGGCCAGGCCACCACGGGTTGCACCCAGAAAGATTGGCTCAGATCGGGAGGGTTTTAAAAACATGGCCCTGATGTCTGGTGTCTGCACCTTTCTGGGTTGATTTTTAGAGAGATTTTTTTTTCCCCTCGGCAGGTGTGAAGACAAAGGAATCCCTCACTTTTTGGGGGGTGAAAGCGGCGATTGCTTTCTTAATCGCTCGCTTTGGGTGCTGGGGTTTGCAGGTAAAGCGAGGTGTTGCCACAAGCACCTGAGGAGCTGGCATTGGTGCCCTCCTGCCTGGGGCTCTCACCCGCAGCAGTGCTCAGGCCCTGCGCTGGCTCTGCCTAGCTGGGGATGATCCCCAGTGACCACTAACGAGCCGTCTCCCCCCTGCTCCGTTTCCCCTCTAGCTGCTGGGTGCGCTCAGCCCTTGGCACCCTTCAGGGGCCTGAGCCTTTGCAGCAGCCCCTTCCTTGTCAGGGGCAAGAGCCCCTGATGCCTGCGGTGCCACCCCACCCCCAGCTGCCTCTCGGGGCCCCGGGAGAGCCAGGAGACAGTCGGCTTCCAGGGGATTACGGCGCTATTAGAACTGACGGGGTCAGATGCTTACTGCAGGCTTCCTTGCTAAGCAGATCTGGGGTCAGCGCGGCCCAGCCTGCCTGCAGCCCCTAAGGTGAGAGCCTGCGGGCACAGCATCAAGGTGCTCTGCTCTCCGCCTCCACCCAGCGGAGGCTGGTGCTGCCATCTCGTGGCCCGCTTGGCCCTTTGCAGACAGCTCCAGCTGGTCCCGGCAAGAAAGCTGCTTGCCCTCCAGCCCCGGCGTGGGGGGCCCGGGTGAGAGCAGGCCAAGACGTGCTCTCCTAAGACTGTCCCATTGCATCAACTCTGACATTTCCAGATGGGGCTCCTGAAGCCAGCTCTCTTGGTGCATGCTGTGATGGCCCCAGTCACAAATGCTCCTCAAGGGGCATCCGCCCAGCCGAGCCAAGGGCTGTTGGCACCACGTTGCTGCATCTAGCTAGCACAGGTCAATGGGATCACCATCAGTTGAACTGCTGGAGCCTGGCATCTGGTTAGTGGCCTGTCCTGACACTTGTCTTGCTCCAGTTTGGCCATCTCCTAGATTGCTCTAAAGCTTGCTGCAGTCATGCCTTCATTTTGCTGCATGGACTTAACCCTGGGAAGAGGGGGAGCAGTGCGGGAATATGCAGACCGTGCATCTGTTTGTGGTCTGCAGGGGGTGGGGACGTGGCATACTCTAGCAGTGGGAGGTGGGCTGATCTCTTCGCTTACAGGGGCTTCTGGTGACCTTGCTGGTGTGTGCCCAATCTGTGGCATTGGCATACTGATCCTGGAGCCTCGCCTGGTCTCCCACAGCTCTCTGGATGCCCATCACCTAACTACGTCCACGGGGCTTGTCTGTATTAGCTTTACAAGTGGGAAGTGGGGTGGGAAACACAGGTGACGAGACTTGCCTGAGGTCTTCCTGGCAAGTTGGTGGCATAGGTATGTGTGGAGCCCCCGTAAGCTTGAAGCCCAGCTCCCGGGGGATCTGGCAGGTGTGCTAGCGCCTCAGACATGTGCTGCCCTTTGCAGAGTCGGTCATGGGAAAGCACAACAGCAAGCTGGCCCCTGAGGTGCTGGAGGACCTGGTGAGGTGCACGGAGTTCAGCGAGCAGGAGCTCAAGCAGTGGTACAAGGGCTTCCTCAAGGACTGTCCCAGTGGCATCCTCAACCTGGAGGAGTTTCAGCAGCTCTACATCAAGGTACGTGGAGAGCGGTGGTGGCCGGGCTGTGCCGGTGACTCGCTGGGATCCTGGAGAAGTTTGCTCCAGGCTTGCGTGATGGCTGCTCAGCGTCAGCCCCGCGGCACGGGAGCACCTGGTCATTGTGGCCTGGGGATTCGAAGGCGGCTGGAGGTGATGCTGGCCGCACTGTTCCCTGGTGTGCTGTCCTGCCTCGGCCATAGTGGGATCAGGTGGATGTTTGACCTTGGCCTGTAGACATCAAGGTCCAGGGAAGGGATGGGAAGGAAGGCCAATGTTGGGTGGCAAGGGGTGCCCTGAGCTCATGACTGAAAACGTGGGGCTGATATGGTGCAGACTGTGGGGACAGTAGCTGTTGGAGACCACCCAGTGATCAGGTTGAAAGCTCAGGGATTGGATGACCTTAGATGAGTCCCTGGTCCGAGGTACAATTTGCCTTTTGGTACTGTAAAAATCTCCTATTTTTAGGATGAGAGAGGACTCACTACTGTCTATAGCTGGCACAAGTAGCTTTTAGCTGGACTATTGCAATGCTGTAGCTCTAGTTGCATCGGGTGCCGGGCTGGAGCCCGAGAGCGCCCGGGTGTGCTGGCACCGAGCCTGTCCTGGTGCTTTTTTTTTTTCAAAGGCTGCAATCCCAGGATACTGAACTGCCCCATGAGAGCAAGATCCTGCGGGCCCAGCTGCCCCCTGGCCCACCAGC